AATTCACAGCCCTTCGTGGTCTTTCCAAAGCCATCAGCCGATAGTGTACCCAGATCTCTCTGACGACCTCACATCTTCATGGAAATGAATTAAGAGAGAGATGAATAATATCATATGAATTTATATCTGTCAGGAGAGGAGAAAGTAGGGGCACAGTTGTCTTTGCAAGTTATATCTTGTTCCCAGAAAAAAAGTGCATTTTTCTGAGCAAAGTACTTACCTACAGACGCATGAAAAATTACCTTCTAAATCTCCCACCATGTTAAGATCGTATATGTACACAATAATTTCTAATAAGCTTTACATATTATATAGCACAAGCATTAGTATTTTATTTATTTTTTAAAGATTTATTTATTTATTTGAGAGAGAAAGATAGCAAGCGAGGGGAGGGACAGAGGGAAAGAATCTTCAAGCAGACTCCCCGCTGAGCACAGAGCCCCACGCAGGGCTCAGTCTCACAACCCATGAGATCATGACCTGAGCCGAAACCAAGAGTCGGTCACTTAACCGACTGAGCCACCCAGGTGCCCCAAGCACTAGTATTTTAATGTCTGAAATGCTACTTTCTTTATACAATATATTGAATAAAATGAGAAATATTTCACTATTTTCTCGTGTAAGACAGCACCAGTCTATATATCCTCTGGACGGTTTATTTATTCATTTAACAAACATTTGTTGAGTTAGAAACTGGTGATGCTGCAGGAAAGGTACTGGCCCTCAAAGAAATGACATCATAATGGAAATAGATAACACACTGAACACATAGAAATAAGGTCACTTGCAATGACAACAAGGCTACCTAGGACTTAAAGTGAGAAAAGTGACAGAGACTTTAAGGAAGGAGTGTTCCTTGAAAGGGCCATCAGGGACTGTGTTTCCAAGAAGGTAAGATGTAAGCTGAGACTGGGTGCTGTATGCAACTGATGAATCACTAAATTCTACCCCTGAAACTAATAATACAGTATACGTTAATTAAATTGAATTTAAATTAAAAAAAAAGATGTGAGCTGAAAGATAAATTTTAAGTGGAAGTTTTCTAATAGATATTTGGAAAAGGGGTTCATAGGCACAGGAAACAGCAAGTGTAAAAGCTCTAAGATGCAAATACGTTTGGAATCTTTGATGAGCTGTAAATAAAAAGAGGTTGAGGTAATCAGGTTCTTCCTAAAAAAGTTTGCATTTTACTGTTAAGTGGCAAAGCAAGTGAGAAAAGTGGTTTGGGGCAAGGAGGAGAAAGGCAGGGCAAAAACAAGACTGACCCTAGGAGGGAATAGGTTGTAAGATCTTAGACAAAGTACACCTTCTACAGTTCGTACTGTATTTCATTAGGTGACATCTTGTTACAGTGAACTTCAAGGTGAACGATAACCTGCCATTGCAAAACAGACTACAACTACAGCCAGCGGTATAAATGAAAATACGATGATGTCGTGGTGTAAAATCACTGTCTGAGTCCTGCTTATGGAACTGGGTCAGGCCAAGTCTGAGCAGTGTCAGTAACAGGCTCTTTTAAGTCAGAAGGACTAACCGGGAAGCTGTTTTTGTGGTAGAAAGCTGAGCAAAAGTAGGGCCAGGGGGCTCACAGCAAATCTGTGATCTCTGGGAGGAAAAATCTACAATGTCATCAAGGAACAGAGCAGAATCTAAGGTAGGAGGCCAAGTTGTATGCTTGGGGCCCCAAAAAGAAAGAAAATCAGGAGCTAAGAGATTAGGAATCGGTTGAAACACGAGAGCAAAGATAGCTTACTGCCGGGGCTGTGAAACATGGGGAGCTGGAGGTTATGTCTGTGTGATGTTGACTCTGTTACCTATCTGAGATGATCCTGACCATGTCAGGAGGCCTCTGGGAACAAGTGAGATGATCGCATCAAGTTCAGATAATTAAAAATGTCACATACATGCACATCGTCGGTTATTGTTCCTTTGGAAAATGTGTCTTCCCTGAACAGCATTTACCGAAAATCGATGTTCTAAACTATCAACTTGATACAGTTCATTATTTATTTTCACATCCAAGTTCAGCCATTACTCAGAAATTTGTTCATTTGGGCAACATATACATTAAGCCTTTTATAGATACAACTTTTACACACATCGTGTGTTTAGAGGAGCCAAGATATAAATAAATGCAGTGAATAAAATAGCCATCATAACTTCCTGCATGACCTGAGATGATTGAAAGTCTACATTTCAAAGCCACATTAACGTTGAGTCTGGACCCAAACTTGCCTGACTCTGTTGCATTAGCTCTATTTCCATTGTCTCACTATAACATGCGAGATAGAAAACATCTTTAAATTGTTCAGTGCCACCCGGAAGATTTCACTCCTGACCCAGCACACAATGCCATGGTGTCCTATTCTGTGGTGAGCAGGGAGTTAGCCACGATTATAACAAAGCACCAGGAGGAAGAGAAATCTGAACTATTATTTCATTTCTTCTCATTGATATAGCTTCTCACTTTCCTTCCCTGACATATAGGAAGAGCATTTTTACTCAAGTGTCTAAGTCATTGATTCAGAAAACTTTCTGGTGAGTCCCTCCTAATGTGTCAGGGATTATGTTAAGTGCTAAATACACAGTTTTGAACAAAATAGGCAACTTGCACATGTGTATATATACATATAAATTAAAAGTCAGAGACAAATTACATAAAGGACACAGATATAGGACTGAAAGTAATGGGGTGGAGGAAGGACAAGAAATCAGGGGCTCAGGCAAGCAGATCAAAGGGACCTTGTTGAGTGAAAGGTCATCAGTCAGCTTGGCCCAGCTTGGCGCTGTCCTGTCCACTTAACGACATTCCTCCAGCCTAGTTCCTGCCAGATTTTTCTGTCATCTTAGACAACTTGTCAGGGCAATATTAATGAGAAGGAAATACATGTCAGTTCTATTTCTTATGTATTCCCAGTTGCCTGTTTTCCAGGCTGCTTTTTGTTTTGTTTTGTTTTTTTAATCTCTGGCCTGGACCAGATAGATTTCTTAAACTGCTGTTCTTCTAGAAAGACATTCTTTCTCATCTTAAAGATAAGTCTTATCTTTATCTTTTATCACAGAAGCTCAGAGGTAGACATTGAGAAGAATCTAAGTCATGGTTGCTACTCTTCAGGAGACGGGACATAGGAGTAGATGCTATATGGAAGTGTGTTCCTGGCATAGAATATAAAAGATAGTAGTTTTGTTGGAAGAATACTACCTCAGCAGGACAATAGACTTTGCTGCTTCAGTGGCCCATGGGCACCCTGGAAGTGTGCACTCCACATGTGCCGGCCTGTCCAGGGGTCTTGGCCCCAGCAGCAAATCTCTTCATCTCTCTTGCCACAAACGCCACATCTCATGTCTTGAAATGGACGATTATGTGACATTTTATTTGGGCCTACATGCATGACCTTTATTACCCCTGAGTTACCATAAGGTTTCCTAAAAGTTGTATGTCTCTTTCCATTTTGGCACTGGGGGATCTCTCTGTCAATTGTACTCAGCTTTACATTATTATTGTTGTTGTTGTTGTTGTTATTTACTCTATCAGCATTTAAAAATATTTTTAGGGACGCCTGGGTGGCTCAGTCGGTTCAGCATCCACCATCGGCTCAGGTCATGATCCCAGGGTCCTGGGATCGAGCCCCATGTCGGGCTCTTTGCTCAGCCAGGAGCCTGCTTCTCCCTCTCCCTCTGCCTGCTGCTCCCCCTGCTTGTACTCTCTCTCTCTCTCTCTGTCTGACAAATAAATCTTTAAAAAAAAACAAACCTCCCTTTAAAAAACATTAAAAAATAAAATAAAAATATTTTTAGCAGTGGAATCTGGTGGTAAGATGGGAATTACAGATGGTTATTGTCTAAATTAGTTCAGTCTGCCTTATGATATAAACCAGGGGAAAAAAGCTGTCTGAAAACCTTAAACTTTCATTTCTTCAGAGTAAAATAGTAATAATGATGCCAGTTCCACAGATGTTAGAATGCATAAAATTATTTCTTTCATGTGAAAGAGCTTGAAATACTGTGAAATCCTATGCGAATATAAGAAAGTGTAAATATTACAATTTACAATCCCATCGGATTAACCCCTACCACTTAACAAGGCCCACAGGAAGTATTTTATTAGAAACAAAATTGATTTTTTTCCAATCTGTGGGCAGATTGAGTGGTGCTACAGGCTAATCTGAGAAACACAGGGGCCTACGTTGCCTGGGCACTGGTTTGTAATAAAAGAGATGGACACCAGTAGAAAGATGGCAGAGTTCTACAGACATTTCCTTTTTTTTTTTTAATTATTATGTTCAGCTAAGCCACTGTATAGTACATCATTAGTTCTTGATGTAGTGTTCAGTGATTCATTAGTTACGTATAACACCCAGTGCCCATCACAACATGTGCCCTCCTTAATGCCCATCACACTGTTATCCCCTTCCCCCCCCCTCCCTTCTGAGACCCTCAGTTCAGTTCCCGGGATCCACAGACATTTTCTACTTGAAGGTGACCCTAGAGGGGCGCCTGGGTGGCTCAGTTGGTTGAGCGACTGCCTTCGGCTCAGGTCATGATCCTGGAGTCCTGGGATCAAGTCCCGCGCCGGGCTCCCTGCTCAGCGGGGAGTCTGCTTCTCCCTCTGACCCTCTTCCCTCTCGTGCTCTCTCTCATTCTCTCTCTCTCAAATAAATAAATAAAATCTTTAAAAAAAAAAAAGAAGAAGAAAGAAAGTGACCCTAGAGGACATGCCCTTGCCAGCAGGCTATCATGATTGAAATCATGTCTAGTAACACATGTCTCTGAATTTCAGTGTTCAGAATATATCACGAGACACGGTAGCCCTTAAAAACAGACTGAGTGTGCATTAAACAGTGTGTCAGAGTGGAATTTAGAAGTTAGGCAGTTACATTTGAAAACTGGTAGGTATTTGTGTGGGGAATGAGTGTAGGCTAGGAGGACGGGGAGAATCAAATCAAATAAAGAACAACCGGAACCACATGTAAAAGTTGTCTTCTCTCTTTTTTCCGTAGGACTCACAGCTAAAAGCAATGAAAGAGACTGTACATCTCTGCCTGTCAACCGTGTTCCGTAATCAACCTCCCCCTTTAAGTCTAATGAGGCCAAATCCAACTCAGCTGCCAATTCTACCTGGGACACTTGGCCCTGTGATTCCTGATGCAAGTTCAAAATTCCAGGTACACTTCGGTCATGCTTTGAAAGTATAAACAAGTCATGCGCTGTCTTTATACTTCATTCTGTGTGATCATCAGAGTGGATCGAAGTAAGATACCAGATTTGTTGAGAGATTAGGAAGTAAACAGAAGATAGTAACCCTTTTGTAAAGTCTCCGTGGTCGCTTGGGAGAACATTGGGAGACAACATTTGTTTTAGAGAGCCAGCTGCTTTTTAGCCAGAATTGCCTAGTAATAAAAATTATTATTATTATCATTATTATTCTGAAATAATCTAAAATTATTTTAAAATAATATTTTAACAGTATTGTTTCAATTTATTTATAGTAATTATAATCACTTAATATAATTTAATAATATAATATTTGATATATAATTTAATGTAACTATATTATTAATCATATTTTAATGATAATAATAACTATTATTTTATAATTAATTGAAAGAAAACATCTTATATTACATACCAGTATATACCAGAGGTTTAATATGGAAAATGCTTTCTCTTAGGGTATAACGGTCATCCTTACAAAAGTGGATACTTTTTTTAAAAATTAAGGCCATAGTTTTCAACACTTCCTACACATGTGACTTATCTTGGGATACTTGTAAGAAAATCCTGACACTTGGGATTCACCCCAAACCTATTGAATTCTTTCTGGTTGGGCTCTAAGTCATCAGTAGTTTTTTAAAAAGCTGCCCAGGAGATTCTGAGAACCGGTGAATCAAGCAAAACTTCCTCAACACCCACCACCACCCTACATTAGACAGGGCAAAGGGGCGTTTGCTCCTTTCCGCTTCAGTCGTCAGAACCTTCAATGTACAGGCTCTCTGTTTAAATAAATGCTGGCACTCTGAAATAGTTATTGGAGAAAGTGTAGCTTCAGGCAGTATATTTGGAAGTGCTGGCCCTCTTATCACTTGCCTGAGGACCACTTGCTGTTAAAGTGAGTGTTCTAGCTGCCAGTCGGACTTCTCGTGCAAATCTCTAACAACGGTGGGCCCAGAAACACCTGAGAACCACTAATAGAGTTACCCAGGGATGCAGTACTTTGGGGCTTTCTTACTGCTTATTCTGATTCCCTGCACTTGAATTAAAAGGGGTGTGCACAAATGGCAGTGTACAGAAATACTGTTTTCAGAACCAAAACCAAGAGAAAAAAAGAATGTAATGTTATGTTTTTATCTGTAACTAATCAACATACGGACGTCACAGATTTAGTCTGTATAATCTCATGTTTCTCTGTCAAAAATCATTTAAAAATGTATGTTTTCATTTCATCTTATTCTCTTTTTACTCGGTACCTAGGGATCTCTAGAAATGTTTAGGCCAGTATCTTTCTCCATTATTTTTTCCTCCTCTTTGGAAACTCTAGGTCTAAAGTGTTTGTTAGCTTAACCAAAGGCAGGGAAGAAAGTTGCATAATAATATATTTGTTATGTTTAGGAAAAATCCTGAAGACATCCATAGACACTGGTCACTGGTAAAATGCCAAGCTTTCCAAGCTTTTCACACAGTGTCACGCACCCACCGGGAAGCCACACCCTGCCTCCTTAGTGTTGGTCTAAGAGAGGAGCAAAGGTTCAGCCTTATTAAGTCTGATGACTTTGGGCAAAGCACTTTGTAATTCTTTGGGCACACAGGACACTTGTCTCCAACTCAAAATATGTTTATTTAGGCCCAATTAAAACTGGGCTCTTTATGACCCTGAACGTGTGGAGGAAATTACTGATTGTTCCCTTAACTGATTTACTATGAATAAATGTATGTCCTGTCCTTGAAATAAATAATAAATATTTATTATTTCCCTCGGCTTATCACAGAAAAATGTAGGAAGCATTTAGATGAAGCTGGTTTAGGAATTGCTCATTTCTCAAAAAGCAATAACAGAAAAATCTAATTGTTTAAGATAAAGTTCAATAAATCTAAGTTGATGTACTATAGAGCATTCTATTTTATGGATTAGCATTAAAAGCTTCTCTAGTGTTTATGTTTTGCCCGCATTCCTTATCTTTTCATTAGTGGTGGAAATTGTATTTTTATGTATACTTGGGTTTTCAGCTGTATGCCAGCGCCTCAGAAAACATTTTTAAAATCCCAAATAATACGATGTGATGTGGGGTGTGGGTAAGAGAGACCCTTCCATCATGGAATCTTCTTTTCTCTGTACGTGAAAAAAGGAACATTTAAATGAGGACATTTTACCGGGACACCTTCAGAGTTGGCTAATTGTAGCTGCAGTGACGTGATGTGCCTGCCTGCGAGCTGTGAGGGGTCACATCTCTCACCCTCCCTCTGCCTCAGTTTCCTCTAGTGCCTGTCAGAGTGTTGTTGTGGCATGAACATTACAACTAATAACGCCCCCTGTTTTCCATGGACTAGGACTGGTCTCGTCTGCTTTCATTTGTTTTCTTAAATCTTCAACTCTTGAATGTTTCCCCGGAAATCTGTGAAACATAGCCAAGTAAGCAATTTTCAACTCACATCCGGAAAAAAAGACATAATACCCACATACCGTGCCCCCCCATGTCATTTTATTTTATTTTTCTTCAAGAAGATTTGGTAATACAATCAAAATTTTCATTGCATTGTTCATGCGTGTATATGTGTATGTGTATACATACATACATACACATACACATGAGTACATTAAATATATATGTGTGTATTTCACTGTGGATTTTAAAAGCCACAGATTTCATTAGGTGGGGAGTTCAACATTACAAGAATCTACTGGCAAAAACTTAAAATAATTTATATATTGGTAACCCCTACCTTTTTTTAAGAAGTATTTATTTATTTGAGAGAGAGAGAGAGTGCATGAGCAGGGGGAGGAGCAGAGGGAGAGGGGGAGAGAGAGAGAGAATCTCAAGCAGACTCCCCTGCTGAGCGCAGAGCCCGGATGCAGGACTCTATCTCACGACCCTGAGATCATGACCTGAGCCAAAATCAAGAGTCAGACACTTAACTGACTAAGCCACCCACGTGCCCCTGGGAACCTCTGCTTTTTTTTTTTTCGCTTTTTTTTTTTTTTTTTTAATTCTGGAGGATGCCTTTATACGACCTTTTAGTCCTACAGCTGAATTTTCTGCTGAGGACCCTCAGTCGGGGCAGTCAGCGTCCTTTCCTTCATCGTATTCTACATAGTTGTTATGTTGCTTCTAATTTGAGTGATTTTTTTCCTACCCTCCAAGTTAGAATTACTTTTTCTATTCTCAGTGATCTGATAGCACAGTGTTTACCCTCATGGCTCTTGATCACACCATGAATACAGTGATGGCTGCATACTCCTCTCTCCTTAAAGGAGACAACTGTGCTTAGCTCCTTGATTTGCTCACATTATTCAGTGTCCAGAATGATGTTTCTACAGAATTCATTTGAAATGACACTTGCTGTATTTCTGTTTTAGTCATTTAGGGCTGTTATAACAAAATGCTGTAGGCTAGGTGACTTAAATCATTTCTCACAGTTCTGGAGGCTGTGAAGCCCAGGATCAAGGTGCTCCCGGATTCAGTTCTTGATGAGGGCCCTCTTCCTGGAAGGTAGACAGCTGCCTTTCGGCTGAGTGCTCACATGGTCTTTTTTAGACATGTGTGACTGGAAAGAGATCTCTTTCTCTCTCTCTTTATATTTTTCATGAGGGCACCAATCCCACCACGACGGCTCCACCATCATGACTTAATCTAAACCTAATTACCTTCAGAAGGCCCAGCTCCTAATACCATCATACTGGGGGTTAGGGCTTTAACATAGGAATTTTATTTTATTTTAAAGATTTTATTTATTTATTTGACACAGAGAGACACAGTGAGAGAGGGAACACAAGCAGAGGGGAGCGGGAGAGGGAGAAGCAGGCCTCCGGCTGAGCAGGGAGCCCAATGTGGGGCTCGATCCCAGGACCCTGGGACTATGACCTGAGCCGAAGGCAGATGCTTAATGACTGAGCCACCCAGGTGCCCCAACATAGGAATTTTGGATGATACAGATAATCAGTCCCTAGCAGTGCTCCTCTTTTTGGATATTTTCCTTATTTAGAAGTTAGAAAATATATATTATTGAGTGCTCATAAAGTGCTTTATATTCAACCAAATTGTTTTCCATCTGTATGCCAGGACCGTTCTCATCACTGGGGATGCAAATTTGAGATCACACGATCTTTTGGACACTGACTGAATTCTCTGTACAAAGAGAACAAGAGAAAAAAATGCAAGGGGTGTGTGGTAGATCAGGACTTTTTTTTTTTTTTGTATTTAGAATTTCATATTCCAAATAGCTTTGATTAAAGATAAAGACTAAGGAGACCTGGATCCAAAGGCACATGAGATGGTATCTTTGTTATGAGAGTATATATTTTATTATGTAGAAAATATTGTTGCAACAGAGAGGTAAAGAGCAAAGGTACGAGCCAGGAGCTCTGATTTGCATTTGCCTAAAATAACTCCTAACTAGAGTGGGAACAAGCAAACCAGTGACAGTCTATTTCCCTGAACCATGTAGAAGATGATGGTGATCTGATCTATGGTACAGAAATGGAAACAGGGTTACAGATGTCATGGGGGCATAAAACTGCTATGATGTAGTGGTTAAGTGGGAAGCATGAAGGCAACGTGAAGAAGAACCCTCCGCGCTTGCATTTATTCACTGTGATGCAAAAGGCAAGAGGGGGACCAAGACTGGTGTGTTTCTTAACACACTAAGTGTTAGAGGTCTCTCATACAGTCAAGTGTCTATATCCCATAGGTGACTGAACATTTGAATCTGGAATGCAGGGAAGACACCTGAGTGGAGATAAAGGATTTGGCATCACCATGGCTGGTGATTAAATGTTGGAAGTAGATTAAATGACTTGACAAGACAATGCGGAGTAAAAAGAGATGAGGGCCACAAAGGACCCCAGAGAGAGAAATACCTTCAGCGTGGTTTTTTTATGTAGCCTAATTGATGGAATATTTGTGGTAAAAGTGCATCTCTTGTCTTTCGTTGAGATCCTCTCTTTGTTATA